TATATATATATATATATATATATATATATAAAAACTACCATTTTAGGCCACATGAAATATGGTTTCACGTTTTTATCACTACAAGGATAAGCATGGTTTGTGTGGTGAATTGTTTGAACTTGAAAGCCATTGTTAAAAAAATTTAACATTAATTTTCTTATTCAGTCTGTGCTATTTTAGTAATTGTACACAACTAAAAATACATTAAAATGAAATAAAAAATATGTACATTTTCTTATTTAATCTGCTGTTTTAGCAATTGTACACATTTAAATAAACAAAATGAATAAAAATGTCCGTTTTCTAATTAAGTCCATACCATTTTAGTAGTTGTACACATTTAAATAAAAATATTTTAAAAAAATTTGAATGATTTCAAAAACATCAGTACTCTTAGTCTATGCCATTTTAGTAATTGTACACATTTAAATAAAGATTATAAATGAATGAATGAATGAATAAATAAAGTGTAATGTGTGCTTTTTGTTATTCTCCAATTCTCCAACATAAAATTTGTGTCCTGAAGCAAAACCGGTTTAGAGAACCACTGCTTTAGTTATCATTAATGTAATTATACCACAATAAAATGAACTTGATGCCAAGTACGAGATGTCAAATTTCTTCTTTGACAGTTACAACCAGCGTTTTTTTTTTGTGTATGAGTGCCGTTTTTGGGTTGGGTGCTTTTTTCGTCTTTACTGTGTGTGTGTGTGTGTGAGTTGACAGCTGCTTGAATATGTGGCGGTACTGCGATGGCAGTGGGTTAAAGAATGCTGGGAACAGGATTAGGATCATATTCTGGCAGTGGCTGTCAGTTCATCAATGGGCTCAGGTTCCCCAGAGACAGCTCTCCTTTGCCGTACGGCTAAGACATTTAGAGGAGCCATAAAGGAGTGTGAAAAAGGGCTGTTTCAATGGCACGGTATGAGTTTTGTTCTAACCTTGCTGGGTGTGAATAAAGTAGAGAAGTCAGGAAATATCAGAGGGGTGCGTCTGATTTTAGGGTTGGAGACATTGCATGAACAAGCATTTATTTAAAGTATTTATGAAGTTTATTAGTTAAACTCCATCTCAGTGGGTGCAGAGCCAAGAAAAAAAGGTTTAAGGGTGAATACACTGTTTAAGTTTTGCTTGTTTTTTCCTGCTGCTGCCATTTCGCTTTTATAATAGGTTCTTCTGGTGTTTAGAAATAATAGTATCAAGCAATATCCTCTTTACCTCACTGTGAAAGGACCAACCAAGATTCTGAACACTGAACAGGTGCTATTTACATATCAATGTGGGCGGTCTTATATTAAATGTATTCATCTAACGTAACAAAAGTCCAATGCAGTTTTACTATATATGCTTATTTTGGAGGTGAGGAAGCAGGGCCCGACAATACCAGCATTTCAATCACGTTTGAAATTAAAGATAGATGTGAGCAAACTGTAAAATGGATTTAGGAGTATGTGTGTGAATAAAAAGTGTGTCCGTGTGTCCTTAAAAGTCTGAATTTTCTGCTTTTTCTTTTTTTAAATGTAAGGTCATCAAATGTCTTCAATATCTTAAAGGGTATAACAAGTATTAATTATTGTCTAAAGAGGCAATAAAATTGGGTCCTGAAAACAGAAATCACAATACAGTTTCAGAGCAGTTCGCAATCAATAAATAGGCTAAGCATTTATGCCAAGAGATTGCTTTTGATCAACTGTTAATGACAATGTTCACTTAATTGTGTTTATATGTTTTAGATGGTTATAAGACTGTCATCTTCCTCATCTGTTTGAATGAGGAAGTAAAGTCATTTTAGAGTCTCGGTGTATGTCAGGCTTATTACAATTAAAACCCCCGCATAATGCAGAGCAATTTTTTCCCGCTTATTAGTGGTATTTTGGTTACACAACAAACTGTAGCCTATTCAATGTTTTCATTTAAACAATTCCTGAATTATTAAATAAACACAGTTTGAAGTGTACTTTTTTGTATTCAAATAAATTATTTTGCTTGTAAATGTCTCCTTTGTCTTTTTATCAACATTTTTTGGAACGTTATTAGGCTATAATAGGCCTATAGCACAAAAAAATTCAAAAATCAAGAAAAAATATTTTTCTTACAATATGAGAGATTTCATGCATGTGTTTTAAAGGTAGGCTACATGCAATAGCAATTGTTTTCAGTTAATGATGGCACTGTAAAGTAATAATAATAATTCACTGAGAATCATTTATTCCATGCAGAATTGTCCGATAACACAGGGCTTACAAAGATAAAACGTTCAGCTGGTCATGTGATCTCAACATGTTTGCCTCCAAGAGGCGACCCGCTCCCTTTAAATAAAACAGCATTTATAGGCTCCTAACATGACTTGAGTGCACCTATAAATTCAGACAAAAAAGAGAAAATAGTCAAGTAGCAGAACGCGACAACTTTTGCAAAACATTCTACGTATGAGTGACGTGAAACATCAAACTCCTCCACCGCTCTCGGCGTTAAGACAACAGAAGAAGCCGCTCAGCAGAAATGTATTCCTCACTTCAGAGGTTTAAAGCAGATTCCCCATAATTCCCCTCGACAGGATTCTCACTTGAAAACTCTGCAAAGCGGCGCGGTCTTAACCCTTCCATCTGACCCGCCCACGACTCGCTCTGCCAGCCCTGCAAAACAATACTTTCACAATACCGCCGGACTTTTATTGTTGCCGCGGCGTTATATAATTCCAGGAATTACTGACAGGCAAGGATATGCTAAATCCTCCTCTACTCTTCCTGAGAGTGGATGAAACCGACTCGGCGAGCAGCGGCTCTCTTTCCACTCTCTGACTCGGTCGGTAATCCCGATACGCACTTTCTGCATTTTTACTGTATGTGTTTAAGCGCATTTGCAGAGCATTTATCTCCCCAATGTAAACCAATTTGGCTATAAGGGCCTCGGGGCGAGCTCACCGCCGAAGGAAAGAAAGGAAAACTCAAACGTAGCAGAAGCGCGGTGGAGGGTGCTGTGACGTAGAGCAAAAAAAACGAGAAAAGAAGAAAAGAAGCAGAACGGCGCGGGAGAAAAGAGAATCCTGTCCAGAGGCGATGCTTCCCTTTTGTGCAATAAGAACCCTAAAGCCGGCAAAACCTGAATCACTGGACTGTTGAATCGCAGAAATCTTCACAATCATCGTTATCCCTTAATCCAGCTGTATGTGCCGGGCCAGACATACTTTTCAACTTCCTGTCAAGTGTCTGAGTGAAACATTTGCACATAGCCTACAGTTTTATCCACTGCTTGTAATCGCAAAACTACAATTTTTCTTCGGAAACACTAGTCACCATGGGCCCTCAAAGTCCACTTTCATGCAGAATTTAGAGTCAAAATCACCTGCTTGTTACTTTCTAGTAACCCTGGCTTTGTAAATATCATATTAATAACTAACTATATTACCTTACAGGGATAGACAACCCAAATTCTGTCATCTTTTACTCACCATCACTTTGTTTCAAACCTGTATGATTTTTTATTTCTTCGGCTGAACCAAACAGTTGATGGTCCCCTTTGACTTCCATAGTATGGAAACAATAATACTGAAAGTCAATGGCTATAGCAGCAGCTGTTTGGAACAACATGAGGGTGAGTAAATGATGACAGAATTTTCATTTTTCGGTGAACCGTCCCTTTAATAAAATTTCTTGTTTGATTTGAACAAATGCCTAAATGCCTATACACCCACAGTTCATTTACAATATTACATGTTTTGAAATGAAATTAGCATTTGATTAACAAATGATATTTTTAAGGTATAATATGTGAGAATGGAGAAATGGTAACACTTTATTTTGTACATGTAGGCCTACTTACTGTAGTGATTACGAGTACTTACTGTATAATGTCACTAAACCAAATCCTATAGTAATTACATGTTTTTATTTTACTCAGTACTTGTAATCAGTACTGTAACAGACACCTTAAAGTATAATTGCATAAATGATACTGATCAGTTTCAAGAACTACAATTATTACTCATTCCAATCAATGATCTCAAACTTTAACTACAACTTAAGGAATTGAGTAAGTTGGACACAATTCAAAATCATGCACAAACAGAGGAAAATCTTTTCCCACCAAAATATTTGAGTATATCATAGATTTTAGAGTGCTGAAGACCTTGGTTGGCTTGTGTACAGTTGCTTTGTGTGAGGTACAGACTGAGATTTTGCTCTGTTTCAGTGAACAGATCTTTCTTTTGAATCTGATCTTTGGATTTGAAATGCTAACTTTGTCAGTTAATTTTTGTGCCATATAGTTGTCTCTAACTGCTGAGAACTCTGGTATGATTTTAAATGTCTTTACTGTCACTTTTGACCAATTTAATGCATCCTTGCTGAATAAAAGTAAAAATTTGAGTATATCATAGATTTTAGAGTGCTGAAGACCTTGGTTGGCTTGTGTACAGTTGCTTTGTGTGAGGTACAGACTGAGATTTTGCTCTGTTTCAGTGAACAGATCTTTCTTTTGAATCTGATCTTTGGATTTGAAATGCTAACTTTGTCAGTTAATTTTTGTGCCATATAGTTGTCTCTAACTGCTGAGAACACTGGTATGATTTTAAATGTCTTTACTGTCACTTTTGACCAATTTAATGGATCCTTGCTGAATAAAAGTAAAAAAACAAGTAAAAAAAAAAAAAAAAAAAATCTCCAAACCTTTGAATGCAGCATTTGTCGATGTTACATGTTTTTTTTAAATACTTTGCAGGCCAGAGTTAGAATTAGCATCCATTTCAACAGTGAAACAGGAAAGAGAACAATAAAATGAGAGGAAATCAAAATGTCCCTAATGAGTTTCCATCCTTGATGACTATGAAGAATGTAAAATGTGCGCAAAACCCAGAACAGACACATATTTACATTACATCGGAGCTGATGGCGTCATGTGTCATTAAGTCCAGTTAAAGCCTTTCCAAGCGAAGTCATCATGCAGGGCACAGAAAATGAGTGCCGCTCATCTCATAACGACAGCCAAGCAAGGACGATGGTTTTCCAGTGAACCTGTGATGTACAGCTCTGATTCATTTTTACTTTAATGAATTTGTGTGGCATTAAATTATACAAAATGATACAGAAATGAAGAGATACATTCAAATCCTCATTCAGTCTTGATGAATCGACATTGCTTCTATACTGAGTGCAAATATTCATGTTTCATTAAACATTGTGAGAAATCATTTAGAGTTTCTTGTTACTTATTTAAAGGGGTCCTATTATGCTTTTTCACTTTTTCAACTTTAGTTCAAGGTTCAAAGTTTATTATATTAGTATTATATTATATTAGTTAGTAATGTTGCTGTTTGAGCATAAAAAAGATCTGCAAAGTTACGAAGCTCAAAGTCCACTTCAAAAGGAGATATTTTATTTAACAGAAATCACTTTTCAAAAACTACAACGAACGACTCGTTTGGACTACAACGCATATTTTCCGGGATTTGTGATATCACAAATACAGACGAATGGGACGAGACCTGGTTGAACTGCACTAGAGAAGGCAACGAGTGTTATCACTAATGGAAACTTACAGATTATGGGGCGGTAATATTATAATGAGAGCCCTTTGCCACGTCACCAAGGGAGCGAAATCAGACGAGCTCGTTTTCTCAGACGCTTGCAGAAAAAGGCTTCCCAAAACAAAGTTACTGGGTTAATCTTTTTCACATTTCCTTGGTTGGTAGATGCACCGGGGACCTGATTATAGCACTTAAAACCTGGAAAAGTCAGATTTTCATGATATGTCACCTTTAAGGTGTGCAATTTCAGCAGCACTATCTTCACCAAACGTTATTGTGAAAAATAAAGCCTGATTTCACATAGATTCTTCCCGCCTGCCACTGGTTGACAAACATACAAATGGCTTACTTATAGTAATTTCAGAATATTAATCTGAAAAAAGAAAAAGTATTTTAACATTGAAAAAATAAGTAAATGAACATTACAGTATCATTATTTCTTCCAAAACCTTAACACACAATCACAGTGACAATCATTAGTAAACATTATTAAAAATGTACAATGGTATATATGCATCATACAGAGTTAAGAGTACCAGACTTCTTCTTAGCTGAAAGCATCATCATATCAGCTAAAACTTTTGATGAACAATATATAGGATTTGTGAGTTTCCTAGAACATCTGTGGATGTTTCTGCGGTCACAGATTCAGAGCAGGTCTGCTCATGACTCACCCGAGACTGAACCGTTAGCAGCCCACAAACATATGCAGCAGAATTTCAGTCATTAATGTTTCCTGGTGAGTTTGCTCTGGGCTGTGAGCTGTTCCACCTCTCTCATAAAGCGCAGACACATTTCATCCTGCCACGGCAGAGACACACACTGCACTGCCACAGGGAGACCAACGCCACCCTTCACCGCCTGAAAACACACACACACACACACACAGAAACTGTTATTTGTGCCACATTTGCATCCCATGACATATTACTGATATAATTAACCATTATATTGGGTTTGCTTTGTAATGCAAAATTCCTTTTAAATCAATTTTATTTTTAGTTTTGTTCATTATCAGAATATCAACAGACATGTATGTTTTCAATAATCACCATGATACTATAATATGTTATATAAAATAAAATAAAATAATAATAAAATAAATAAAAAATCTGCATGAATGTTGCTTTTGAAGTTTAAGGCTTTTTAATGCACTACATATGACATTCCACCTTTAAAAATTAATGGTTTGATTTGATCTTTTTTTTTTTTTTTAAAGTGATAATGTTTTGATCATAAGTTCAATCTAAAAGTTTATTTTATAGTTATTATCAGTGGCCTTGTCAAGAACTAAACCCTCAAGCCAGTAATCAGTTTTTACAGAAAAGCCTTTTATGGTACATAAACATTTACTGTAAAAGAAACTAATCATTTCTACATTAATATACATTTCTACACAATTTTAAATGTTATGGAAATGACACAAAACATGCTTGGACACGCATTATTATCCAGTGTTATAATATGTTATTTATAAAAAGAAATAAAAATAGAGTAAACCTATCAGAATATTAACATAAAACTACTGGCACTATGCAAGATTGTCATCTTATATATTTAGGATTGGGGTAATAGTTTAAAAAATGGGCATGGAAAAACAAGTTTTTGACGCCATTTAATAAAAAAAATTTTTTTTAAAGAAATTGTGAAGCAAATAGTGCAGTCCCCTTAGATTAGAATGACTCAAAAATACACAGTGTCATATATGGCTTTAATACTTTTTTCCTCAAGTTATAAGAGCATTATATTTAATAAAATTATATAGCTTATAGTTTAATAAAATTTGCCTGCCACTTGCTGGTTCCTTCTTTGTAATTGTGACTATACTGCCTCCTTGTGGTAGTCAGGCATTCAACCCACACAAAGTCTACTACAATATTATAAGACTAAAAAAGACATATGCATTTAATGCACATTTACCTCAGTGGTCTTGCACTGTGACAACATACCTTAACGAAGAGTTTGTCCCACACATCCCCATGGACACCCTTGTAGTGACGGAGCTGTGCCTCGTCGTCCTCCGTCACTGTAGACACGGTCACGGCCCCGGCAGGGAAGTTCAGCAGGTTGTACAGGATGGTGTAACTCAGAGCACCTTCAGAGCGGAGAAAATTTACTGCATCTAGGCGACTGTTACTGGCCTTACGCAATGCTGAAATCATTATGTTCGAGTTAATAAGTAACATTAAAACGCTGTAACCTACAGCATGATTTCAAACTGACAAAAGAATCGCAATCCAGTTTTTGACCCTTTTTAAGCAAATTACTGACAGGAAGTATAAAACTGGCACATAGGTAAAGCAAGTAAGCTTTTAATCCCTCAGCTTTACTAGTTATAATTTAATTTCCACATGTAAAATGCAACTGTAAAAAAAAAAAACTAATAATAAATATCTAAATTGTAAAGGAAGAGTTCAACCAAAAAATTGAAAATTGACTCATCTTGAGGCCATCCATACGGTGGCCGAGAAGTGCAAAGCAAATCACAATTCTGAAAACAAAATAACAAATTACAAACGCAAATGCAAGTCTAAAAAACAAAATAACAATTCAGAAAGCACAACAACAATTCAGAAAACATTATAACAAGTCAGAAAACACAATGACAAATTTGAAAACAAAATAACATTAATAACAAACCAATGATTAATCCCAAACCAATGGCGCTGTCTCAAACTATTTCCGGTTTGTCTGATTTGTCGTTGTGTTTTCTGACTTGTTAATTTGTTTTCAAATTTGTCATTGTGTTTTCTGACTTGTTATAATGTTTTCTGAATTGTTATTTTGTTTTTTAGACTTGCATTTGCATTTGTAATTTGTTATTTTGTTTTCAGAATTGTGATTTGCTTTGCACTTCTCGGCCACCGTACATCCAGGATGTGGATGAGTTTGTTTCTTCATTTGAACAGATTTGGAGAAATGTAGCATTGCATCACTTGCTCAGCAATGGATCCTCTGCAGTGAATAGGTGCCGTCAGAATGAGAGTTTAAACAGCTGATAAAAACATCTGAAGTGAAGTGAAAAGCTGTGTGTTTGTAAGAAATAAATTCATCATTAAGGCTTTTTAACTTTTCATTTCACAAGACGTTAACTGATGGACTGGAGTGCTGTGGATTACTTGTGGATTATTGTGATGTTTTTATCAGCTGTTTGGACTCTCATTCTGACGGCACCCATTCACTGCAGAGCATCCATTGCTGAGCAAGTGATGAAATGCTACATTTCTCCAAATCTGTTCAGATGAACAAACAAACAAACCATTAACATTTTGGAAATGCCTGCGGCTGAGTACATTTTCAGCAAATCTTAATTTTCAACTATTCCTCTAAAACCGTCAAGGAGACAAAATCAAGAGACATATGACTGGTCAAAACAGATTTTTTTCCTAGTAAAATTCAAGTAATGCTGAGGGAATCAAAAATAATGAGGCATAAGATGTGGTGCAGTTATTAACAAGGAAACAACTAAAACAAAATAAATAAATGGCACTTCATGACAAAAATGATGTCAAACCTGTGTTTACAGGCACAAGAATAATGTAAATGTAATGGTAATAGAAATGAGGTAAGACAGTACTGTTGAGACTCCCGCAGTAACGGAAATTGAAGGCTGGTCCAAGCATGGGACACAGCAAAACATCTACATTCAGTCTCCTCCACTCTGCTATCACCTCCTGTATGTATTCCTGCAGATAAGAAAACAGAAAAACTTTCACAATCACGTCAGAATAAGAAACACTTTTATATTCAGCATATGCCAGGAACAGGAATTTGCTCAATTCAAGGGAGACGTTATACACCGTCACAATAATGCACTGGAACGAGGACACATAACAATATCGTAAATATTATAGAGCATGTATACTTTACATGCTCTATAATGTTTATGATATTCTTATGTGATCAGACACAAAAGCTGAAGAATGTGGTCAATTTGGCGGAAAAATGTCCAAGACCTATTTAGCAGATCTTCAGATTTTTTTTGATGAAAATTGTGCTACAGCTATTGGTTGAGTAAGGATATGCCAATGTGAAGAAGCCATGTACAGTAGTGTGTGTTGGCTTTCATCAGGATAGCTTTGAAATTTTTTCTAGGTTCCAGGAATGAATGCATACAGCAGCTTATGTATAATGTAAGAAAAACACATCGCTTCACATGGTTTAATGTACTATAGCAATGACCATTGAGACTCAAAGGTCTCTTACAGCCCCCACAGCTCCAAAACATCAACATCAAACCAGGTCTGTAAACGTTATGCATTTTGTGCCTCCAGCTCTTGTTCCCTTGATAAAGTTGATAATCATTTCTGCAGTTTTAGTGGTGTTGATGAAACCACATAATAAAAAAAAATCTATAAAATAAAAGACTACCTCAATATTTGCATGTTGTCTCCACAATTCTGCCACAGACCTTAAAAAAGAAAAAATAGTTAAATAATTCATGCCATTAAAGGAACAGGGAAAAAGATAATTTCTGAGGTTTTGAAAGATAAATAATTAATTTTAAAAAGTAAATAAGTTGTTTTTACTTTTGGGGGTGAAAATACACTTCTATTCAAAGGTTTGGGATTGGTAAGATTTTTTTTTTTTATGTTTTGAAGTCTCTTCTGTTCTCCAATGCAGCATTTATTTAATCAAAAATACAGTAACATTGTAAAATTTTACTAGAATTTAAAATAACTTTTTTAAAACCTGAATATAACTCTTAAATGTAATTTATTCCTGTGATCAAAGCTGAATTTTCAGCATCATTACTCCAGTCTTCAGTGTCACATGATCTTCAGAAATCATTCTAATATGCTGATTTGCAGCTTAAGAAGCATTTCTGATTATTATCAGTGCTGCTTCATATTTTTGTGGAAAACATGATATGCCAAAATGTAGTTTGGTACTCTTTGATGATTACAAAGTTCAAAAAACAGCATTTTAACTTTTTTAAACAATGTAAACTTTTTATTGTTATTTTATCAATTTGAATGCATCCTTGCTGAATAAAAGTATTAATTTCTTTGAAAAAAATCTTACTGACCCAAACTTTGAGTGGTAGTGTATTTACATTTTTTCTAAAACTTTTAAATTGTAAATAAAAAGGTAATTGTAACCAACTTAAATTATGCTCTAGAAAATTATATTTATCAACATAATTATGTTCTTTATGTAAATAAATAAAATGTGCATCTCTATAACTGACCCAAATCCAAGACTTGCATCCATGTTTGCAGATAACCGTGGATACTGAAGAGTACAAACATTAAGACCAGTGAAAAACATTAGGTTGAATATCCTCTATTTAAGACAACTGATTGCTTAATTAGACACAGATGAGAAGCACTCACAAAAGGCTTGAGAACAATAGAAATTAGCTTCTTTATGAAGCCTGGAATGCTCAACATGTTGGCCTGAGCACGGAGACATGGGTCAATGGGGCCTGCCTGCCTGAAAGCACACAAAACGCACACAATATACAACAAAAATGTGGTTACTACAGATAAGATGTGGCTACATTTTCTTCAATGGAAATCTGAACGTACAGATGACTGAAGAGGGTACGACCTCCATCACCCAAGATTCCTCTGACAGTCAACTCATGGAAGGCATGGTAGAGCCGAAGGGGTTGGAATGGAACCAGCTAAAATGTGATCGACATGCCAGAACATCAGCTTTTCAAGTCTTTATCACACAGCTTTTAACCCTCAAATAACCCTTAAAACCATTCAGACTTTCATGACCAATTCATAATCATTGTTGTGTGTTAATGGTTTAAAAAGGGCATTTTCTTTCTTAATATAAAACAGATCATAGCTGATCTGTGATCCGTACGGACCAGGCCCCACGTTTTTTGCAGATTAATTGCAAAATTTAACCATCATAAAGTAAAAGTTTATCATTTGTATGTGTTATGTCTTGCAAGTTTGCAAATTCAAGAGATTTTAAACCATTCTAGCGCAAGAAGAGGCGAAAGAGAACTCGCGCATAAATGTTTTCAGTGCGCATAGTCAGCCGCACACACACAGAGGCACATGTAAAATTGTCAAAATATGTCTTGTCAATCATTCTCGTAAAGCAGTCGATATTGTCTATGTAAGTGAATGAAAAGAGTTAAGCAGGGTTGCCAAGTCTGCGAAACGAAACCAGCCTAACTGACCCTTCGCCGAAGTTTGATTGACAGGTGATCTGACCAATCATAACGCAGAGCCATTTTGTCCGACAAACCAGACTAGAATAGATTAACATTGGTGGACTTGAACTTGAAAAATGGTGTGTACTGACATCTTTTTTCGTGGTTGAAACGAGATAACTTCTGATGTTCATTCCTGTTTATTTTGTGCTATAACTAGTACAGAGGAAGAGATGATCAGTTCACGTGCCACTTGAACTGAGGTGCTACAGCGATCTGTCATGACAGATTAAAAAGCCACAAAATGGTATTAATTAATTGAATTTCTTAAAAAAAAAAAAAAAGCTGAAAGCTGTGACTTTGTTTCATACCAAAAGTAACCTGCTCTGTCTTGTCTGTCGGTGGGTTGTCAGTTTCTTCTTTGCGCCGCGAGAACTGCGTGAGAACATGATGTGTTGCGTCTAGTGCCATGGCTTATCGGACGTAGCAACAGTAACTACGGGGGGCGGGTCTTTGCGAAGGCTCAACTGCTATTCAAAACTAGCCCAATCAGGGTTGAGAGATTGCTTTAACCCGCGGACCAAAATACAACCCGTGGCAACAATGTAAAAGTAGCCCAAATCCAGGGTAAAACAGCAGACTTGGCAACCCTGCATCTGAGAAAGAAATTGGATGTGTATCATTATCCTATATATTGGATCCGTGCATCAGGTCTAAAAGGGACAGTAGCCTATAAATACCTGCTGCTGTCTGTGTCATTAATACTAATTAAAACACAGCTTTAACAACGATGAATCTAGATTTAATTTATACAGTGAACACTATGCAGTATTATTTTTCATTTAATTATTATATTTCTATACCTGAATACTACTATTATACCTTATTTTATTTGAAACTGTTATATTGTATTTATCTATGCTTGTAATTTGTGTATTTGTTCTTACTTTTTTATTGACTAGTCACTTGCCTTTAATCATGTTGGAACTTTTTTAGTTAGGCTAGTTTTTACTGTGGTATTGAATAAGTACTTAAAGTGTGCTTTAAGTATTAAATAGAAAGCAAAGTTACACTGATACAAAATATTTATTTTCTTGCTGATCCGAAAAAAAATGATCCGATCCATGACTCAAAAGCCTCAATAATATCCAAATCGTGAGTTTTTGTTTTTTGTTCAACCATTACCTTACATAACAACTGTTAATGCAGTGTGTCTGTGTACCGTGTGCCCTGCTCTCTCAAGCAGGTCCTTGGTCTCCCTGAAGGCCCTGGCCATGCTTGGGGACGGCTGCAGGTACCCGTCGTTCTCATAATAACCAATCCTCAGGGGCTCTGAGCTCTCATACACCTGTTTATTAAGAGCACAGATTCTGCATTCACGTGACACATCACATATACTGTACAGGGATCTGGTGTGTGATATTTTATACAGAACCTCTTGGTTGAATGGTATGGGAGGGACGGTGGGGTCCAAGGAGAACATGTCCTGACAGAGCAGCGCCCGCATACACAGTGCCAAGCTCTCGACGTCCCTTCCCAAAGGACCAAGAGAGGTCAACACTGAAAACCAACACAATGAGACGACATACAGGACATGATGTTCTGTTTGTGTACAGTTCAAAACTAGCCCGGCAGGATGATGGATGTGATCTCACCTGACTTTTGGCCTTTGATGCATGAACTGATTCCTCGAACACTAAACATAGATGATTAAAAAATAAAGCAAAGCAGAGAAGAAGAAAAACAGGTAGATTAAGGTGAAAGTTGAAAGGTGACTTTCACAAAACCTTGAAGGATCATATCAAGAAAAGGAGTTTTTTCACCCCAAAATCAAAAACAGGTAACAAGAAACTATATATTGCTTGAATAAAATGTGACATTATACATGTCAATAAAAATAAGACCTAGACATGTTTTTCTGATATTCAGCAACACATATGCAATTAATGAAGTATATTACATTATGTTCGTTGTACAAAAATGCTGCTTTCTGACTCTGTCATTAATAATAACAATGAAGTAATATAAAGTAAAAATAAAATTGTATAACACAAGTTATTATAGGAATTTTGCAATGTGATTCCAAGTGCTCCTTTTTATTTGTAATTAGGCTACTTTTGATTCACTCTAGTTAATAACAGTATTTTATAATAGTATTATATATATATATATATATATATATATAAATATAAAATACTATTGTAAAATACTGTTATTATTATCTCTCTCTCTCTATATATATATATATATATATAGAGAGAGAGAGAGAGAGAGACCCTCCGGATGAACCACCAGAAGTCTTCTGAAGGTTGCAGGGGTTCAAGGTTTGCCCGTAAATGGGGTTACTGCAGTCATAACTAAAGTACGTACAAATACAGAGGGTCTGAGTTGGTAACAACAGTGGTTACAATGGAACAAATCAGCTTTCCAGAACCTTCACTCTCTCTGTTCCTGTGTTGTGGAGCAGGCTTCTAACCTTCTGATCTGCTGAGATCATCACAACCTTCAAGAAACTGTTGAAGACACACCTCTGCATTTATATTTCTGCTCTAACGTCTGTACTACTCTAGCTGACCCCTGAAACTTGGCATTTGTGATCAAGATCGTTAAAATGAACTTCTACCTCTCATAAAATGTATAATGATTGTGGAGCCCCAGGTGTTTATGACTGGTGTGCAGGGGTCTTATCTTGGGAACAACAATAAATTTTCAGCATAAGTTACATCTTTGATCTTACACATTCCCATGTAATAGCTGCCCATAATACCATCATTTTAACAGATTGCAATAAAAATCGGTTCTGGTATGAATACTGAAGTCTGCAGGAGAGAACTGAAGTACTAATATATTAGACTGGTACTTTTAGAAACCGCAAACTAGTTATAGGAATGTTTGCCCTTGGGCTGTATATCTCTGTTCCATAGATAAATGGTTTCAAATTAATAACAAAATTGCTTTGTAAGGTGAACAGCTGAGCTTCATGAATAAAGCTCACTGCAAAATCAAAAATTAGAAATTATATTCTTCATAAAAGAAAAAAATCTCACTTGAGAAGACCTTGTGGTATGTTGGTCTTGATGAACGGGATAGTTTGTATCTCGGCCAAATATTGTACTATCCTAACAAACCATACATCAATGGAAAGATTATTTATTCAGCTTTCAGATGATGTATAAATCTCAATTTCAAAAAAAAATTGACCCTTATCACTGGTTTTGTGGTCACATATTATGTACAAGTGAATTAAAATTTATTAATCAGTTGTTCAACAATACCATAATTGCTATAGATTTAATTTCTAATAATATATTACTGCTCATCCTCTTTTAAGAGGAGAGATATTGTTTAATAATACTATAGCTGACATTTATAATATAAATAAAAATATGATTCAAACTATTAGTAAATCTTGTATAGAATAGACTGCATAAGACGGCTTAAGGTCTTAAAATTATAGCAATTAAAACATTGATTGTAAACCTCTGAAGCTGGCCATAAACTCATAAATCTCATACATTATCCACATGCAAAATATGGCAGCGGTCAAAACCTTTTCCATAAAGGCATAAAGCACAGCGTCTGGCTGCAGGGAGCCGTCCTTGAGTTTCCCAGTGAGCTCAGGCAAAGACAGAGACACTATAGAGCTGCTCTCAAAGTCTGGGTTCTAGAAAGATGCGAGAGAAAAAAACCATCAGATATTTATTGAATCAATCTATAATAGAAGAGACCGGGGCTAGTTGTCACAGGTGCTTAATCTCAGTAACTAAACGGTTTTGAGTCAAAAGTCCAATTACACAAATGCTTATTTTCTCTAGTAGGTTTCCAAACATCTAGTTAAATCTGATAAATTAGTTTAAACTAAAATTTCAGTATTGTAGTATTGGTTATGTAAAAACTGAAAACTACACCACACTCTCATACATTCAGAAAAGAGTCAACAATATAGTGAAGATAGACTTTATCTGTATCTGATTCTCTATAAAAGTCAGACTGCACTAATAAAAATTATTCTGTGGTGAAGTAAATAATACAGATTTAGCTCAGGCAAGAATAAAAAAAATAAAAAAAAAGAGTAAATTCTATATTAGTATTCAAATCAGGTTTGTAGAAATTAAAGTTTGAACTTATAGATGTATTTTACTTGTTTGTTATGTTTACAAGGATTCTGTCAGTAAATATCAAAGATACTAGTGTTCCCATCATAATTAGGTCGAATGTTTCACTGTTTTCTAGTTGTATTTACACTGTTCTATGGTTTATGTTTTGTGATATCTGGAGTTGATTTTCTACTCAAAATGACCCATTCATACTTAAACACAATCCACTGATTGTTACCATCATTTTTTATTGTGTACCAAGTAGGGCTGTGCGATATTGACGAAAAATGCGATATTCGATATGCGATACGATAATGTGCCACATGCTCAGATGAAACAGTTTTACTTCGCTGTTGCTGAGTCAGTTCTGTGAACTTCTATAACTATCTTGTGTCATATATATATAGTTATTTGTATGCATGTATGTATCAAGAGCTCCTGTAAAACCACAACAAATTCCTTGTGTTTGCGCACACTTAAGTGGTGAATAAAGCTCATTCTGATTCTAATATAACTAGCATACATGTTTCACTTTTTGTGAGAAGAAAGCACCCCTACAACAACTTCTGAAAGTGAAACGTAGTGTTTTACTCTAGCATTGCATAAAAATGTCACTTTAACATTTAACATTTACTCTATGAATTCAATATGCACCGATTCTTATTTAAGCTACAAAAGTTATTTAGGTAAGAGCAGTGAGTGATTTTCTCTTTGTCTTTTGTTCATGGCCCCAAATATTGCAAGCCGTAGCGATATGTTCATTTGCGATATCTAGATAATTTCGATATATTGCACAGCCCTAGTACCAAGTATTGAGGTCTCTGTGTTCGGTTAAGTATTAATTATATTGTGTGGACATATTATCTTATAGAAAAGTATAGGACGTATAGCAAGCTATCTACTGCCTTATTGACTTAAATGTTTCTAAGTGAACCATGTGCTTTAATAGCATGTCTTATTTCAGTTACACTGTTTGAGACTGAGTAAAATATACTTGAGTAAATATATAATGATTAAGTAGAAATTACTCAACAAACTCTAACTGGCCAAGTTAAATTTACGTATTCTCTTTGTTAATTTTACATAACTTAGTAAGTGAACTTAGTAACTTAAGTAAGTGAATCTGACTAAATTCCAATCTTACATTTACCTAAAAAATTATGCGTGCAAAAGAAAAAGTAAATACATTTCACTTATCTATTATTATTTTTATTTTTTTTCAGTGTGGGGCAGATCCACACATTTTTATTGGAGCAATTTGTACTATGTTTTAAACGTATTACAATTTATTTACATTTGATTATTAATATATTTAATACATTATTATTAAACGCATTTAATTCCTTTAACGTTTTACGTGTATTAATTATTATATCTGTTCAGCACAAGAATGGAAAAAATAGTGGATTTTTGTTACACCTTTCATTTTTACATTTTCATAAACTGCTTTATTGTTTACATTTTGCAGTAGTAGAAGATTTCATTGTAACAGCTTACCCCAAACAATGTGACAACATTAGAATTTGCATACAAGAAATACACATTCATAAACACTTACTCTATACACAATGCATATTCCATATGTATATTGCATGAATAATAGATGCTGGTTTTTATACCTGTATTTTAAATTGTTGCACTGCTTGTTCAGCCTGTTGAAGTGACTTATCTCGTCTTTTCCGTGCGTTTAGTATTTTCTTCTGAATCTTCTGATTATTTCTCCATTTCAAGAAGAGATATAATGCACCTGTACCGCAAACTGTGGCTGCAATCACCGGCGTCCAGTTAATATCCATGTCTAATATAAGCTTCTGCACATCAAAGCCGTCCATAACTGCTGCTCAGTGTGAAGTACTCTCGTGAGTCTTTAATAACTCTGCCATAGTTAAAGACTTCAATAGGAATTGTCCGCACTAGTGCGCCAACTTTCATTCCATTTCCTGTGCGAACGGAAATCAGTTCCCTTCATAAGAGAAAGACTACGAGCTGCGCTCAAAACCGGGGAGAAAAGCTGTGATATCCTTGTGTGTGAAATGTCATATTACTTAACTATTTTGAGTATCAGTGTCGAATACACAATGTTACGCACAAACTGATGATGGCAGGACTCTAAATATGTTTATTTACAGCTGAGGTGGATGGACACTGTGAACCGGAAGTTGACAGAGGTGGACCGTCTCTCTTTATATAAAAGTCTTTATAAACACTTACAACTTCCGGAAAGTGTCACGCTGTCCTCCATCGGCGCATATCACAGTCCACAGAGGGTCACGTCGGGAAAACTCAGCTGAAATCATGGTTTTCGAAGATAAAATGATCACGAATGGAGAGCCAGAGGAGGTATAGTGGCATATAATGTTTTACAGAGCGCTTTAAATGTCATTTAGTGTGGTATAAAGAAGCCGCTTTATGTTAAACCGGTCTGGTTAATGGGCCGAGCCTGATCTATACATTGAATCTAATGTAACGTTACATATAAGCTATTATGTTATGCTTCTGCTGTCTAAACTGTTGCGTGAGATTTTGCATTTGTCTTGTATGTGTAAGTAAACGCACGCATCCTAGGTATCCTATGCTATGTTTTGTTGTTGCTTTTATGCTATTTATGTATATTTAATATGCATGTATATGCATCCAATTAATATATTTTGGTGTGTTCAGGAGGAGGAAGAAGAAGAGGAGCAGGACATGGTGGTATGTCTTTTATGTCTTGTATTATAGAGCAATATTATATTGGCAATATTATATCTAAGTCAGTTCAAATGAATTAAAAATGATATTTAGCAGTTGTTCGAAAGTGTTTAATGGATACTGTCATGCCCTTGATCAAGACTTCTGGTTATTCCAGTAATCAGAATGAATATATGGCTATATATACTAATTTTTAAAGCATCTTAGCAATAATTACACATTTTTATATATATCTCATGAAAATGTTAATGAAAGGGTAATTTCACCCCCAATTCAAAAGAAAATGCATCTGCATGCAGCAAATATGAGGCTCCATAATGTGTGTGAAGAAGATGGCCAAGATCTTCACATTTGAAAAGTAGATCCTGTAGATGGCATGTGAATTTCCTTCATCACAGCCGTGCAGCTTTGATGATTTTCTGAATTTATGGCACCACCTAGAATTGTAACTTAAGAAATTTGACATGTATCCTTACAACCCAAGACAGAACATCATGTCTTAAAGGGATAGTTCACCCAAAAATGAAAATTCTGTCATCATTTACTCAAACAGTTGGTGGTTGCCATTGACTTCCATAGTAGAAAAAAAAAAATACTATGGAAGTCAATGGCAACCACCAACTGTTTGATTACCAGCAATCTTCAAAATATCTTCTTTTATGTTCAACATAAGAAAGCAACTCATAAAGGTTTGGAACCACATGCGGGTGAGTAAATGATGACAGAATTTTTATTTTTGGGTGAACTATCCCTTTAAGTCTTATATCAGTTAACCCTGTAGATCAGGGTTCCTCAAATCTTGCCCTGGAGGGCCAATGCGCTGCAGAGTTTAGCTCCAACCCTGATCAATCTCACCTACCTGTGATTTTCTAATGATCCTGAAGACATTGATTAGCATGCTCAGGTGTGTTTGATTAGGGTTAGAGCTAAACTCTGCAGGAAAGTGGATCTCGTGGACCAGATTTGAGGATCCCTGCTGTAGATGATGTGCATCTTCATAATGTCTTGATGTCCATGCATACTGAGTTTGATGAAGAATATGGTTGAATATTTACTCCTCAGGACCCATTAGAGACGGTGCGTGAGAAGTGCGAGCAGACGGAGCATTGCGTTCACACTCGTGAGCGTCTCGAGGCGTGCGAGACACGGGTCGGCTCACGCTCGGAGACGACAGAGGAGTGTACAGAGGAGCTCTTTGACTTCCTGCACGCTCGTGACCACTGTGTGAGTGCTGATGCTCAGCCGAACCTGTGGATGTTAGATGTCAGTGATTGCTGGAGCGGTTTAGATTTTGCCAAGATGCTGGGGCCTGTACCATGATGATAGATGAACTAATTCAGAGTTGCAGGATTAGTTTCGAGTTGACAAAACCAAACCACTCCAATCCGGCTTTGTTGGTACCATGATGCTGATCATCAACTTTCTTTGTCAACTCAGGCTTTGATGTGTGACTCGCGTGTGACATCACTGGGGAACAGCCAATCACGAGCCTTGGTTAACTGTTAAACTAAAATTGCTTGTGTGTAATGGATTAATAATAATGTAAATAATATGAAATAACTCAAGTAATTATCATTAAAGCCAGACAATTTTTTTTAGTACTAGAGACTTTTATTTTGGAGCAAGAGAAACTGGAGGAGTGACTTTTTTTGTGTCAGACATGTGTCACTTTGCTCACATCTGGTTGGTCCAATTTCAGTTTGAGATCTCTAACTCAGAACATAACCTGCACGGAGCTGGTTATCTGTGGAGTGTAAGTTACTATGGCATTGAACGCAGCTAAAAGCCAAGCCACTTTCATGGTACCTAAAACCCAGGATTGGTGCAAACTGAACTGAAACTTACCTGGCTAGCCAGCTGATCCGGCTTCATGGTACAGGCCCCTGGTGTCTTGTTTACAGATGTGGTTTGAAGTCACACACCTAATATTAAGGAGTAGTTTAACCAAAAATATAAATTCTATCAATATTTATTCTCTCGTTTGTCGTACCAAAGTTGTATGCTGCTATTTTTTTTTTTCTGTGAAAAATTCTCCAAAAATTATTAATTTGTGTGACAGAATGTTTGTTTTTGAATGAACTGTTTAAAATATTTTTTGTAAACATTATTCATTATAACTTGTTCTGCTCTATTTTGTTTTCTGCAGGTGGCTCACAAGGTTTTCCAGTCAATCAAATAAACGGAGCATCTCAGCGCTGGTTATGAATCGATGTCTGCTTACAGAAATACAGTGCTCGGTTATTTATATAAGATTTGATTTCTGTCCCAGATTCAACAATTCATCGTAACCCATAGGTTCTTCAAATTATGACTGAAGTGTGAATAACTGTGCTCTGTTTTCATCTCTCGTGTGTTTTCTGTTGTTGAGATCAGTAAAGAGGTGATGTTGACATAAATTTGGGTTTATTGCTAATGCAACAAATAACAATAAAGAAGAAAAGACAACTGCTGTTTTCATTACTTTATTGCCATAACTTGGCTGTTGGGAATTTAAAGAGCAAATGAGCATCAACAGTATACAAAGATCATAAGTGTACACTACAGGTAAAAGCTATCTGGTTAAGTTAAGCATTAAGGAACATTTTGGATACAAAACAAGATGCTCTTCATACAAGAACAAATTAAAATAGTAACGTTAGAGAAATTAGTTTTGTAAAATTGAAAGAAATTCAGTTTTATTTGTTTTTATCAATCAGTAAATATCGCAGGAGTGCTTTCCGAGCGGATGTGCTCTGTTGGGCGGGACTTGCACCACTACTGCGTGTTTCATTGGCCACTTCAGCGCCCGGAAGTTAGAATCGATAAAAATTGAGCCAATTGGCGCGTTCTTTCGTAGAAATTGAGCAGCTAGAATGGAAATTAACAGGAAATAAGGTTGTTTTAACTGGCGGAATTAGAAGCCCAAATGTTGTGTAATTACTGCGCTTTTTATTTTTTATTTTAATGAATATTTAAGTTATTAGAGCTAAATTATATTTAAAAAAATGTGTTGTCACGTGGTATCTGTTTCTTTTCTTTGCGCTGACCAGATTGGGCCAATCGTAGTTGTTTGTGATTACCAGATACGAATTTTAAGATTATTTTTAAATAAAATTATTTTCTATTTGTCGATAAGGCATTAATTATTGGAATATTTAAATTTGAACGATTACCATGTACTGTTTAAATTTCCAAAATAAGCGGGAGAAAAAAACTAATGATACAATGCAGCTGTAATGAAAGATTCAGCTTTTTCTGAGCCGCCGAGCGCCCCCTGGACGAATCACTACTTTTAATGCCCGATATTTCCTTCTAATGCATTTTTATTTTCCAAACACATGGCGGAAGCACAACAGTAGAGATGTATGAAGCACACGCTCCGGTGTGAGAAAACACTGGAGCTCGCCGCCGCCGTTAAAAACCAAGAAGAAGAAACACTGGAGCTCGCCGCCGCCGTTAAAAACCAAGAAGAAGAAACACTGGAGCTCGCCGCCGCCGTTAAAAACCAAGAAGAAGAAACACTGGAGCTCGCCGCCGCCGTTAAAAACCAAGAAGAAGAAACACTGGAGCTCGCCGCCGCCGTTAAAAACCAAGAAGAAGAAACACTGGAGCTCGCCGCCGCCGTTAAAAACCAAGAAGAAGAAACACTGGAGCTCGCCGCCGCCGTTAAAAACCAAGAAGAAGAAACACTGGAGCTCGCCGCCGCCGTTAAAAACCAAGAAGAAGAAACACTGGAGCTCGCCGCCGCCGTTAAAAACCAAGAAGAAGAAACACTGGAGCTCGCCGCCGCCGTTAAAAACCAAGAACTAATGATACAATGCAGCTGTAATGAAAGATTCAGCTTTTTCTGAGCCGCCGAGCGCCCCCTGGACGAATCACTACTTTTAATGCCCGATATTTCCTTCTAATGCATTTTTATTTTCCAAACACATGGCGGAAGCACAACAGTAGAGATGTATGAAGCACACGCTCCGGTGTGAGAAAACACTGGAGCTCGCCGCCGCCGTTAAAAACCAAGAAGAAGAAACACTGGAGCTCGCCGCCGCCGTTAAAAACCAAGAAGAAGAAACACTGGAGCTCGCCGCCGCCGTTAAAAACCAAGAAGAAGAAGAAGAAGAAGAAACACTGGCGCTCGTCTCTTGTGTAAAAATGATCATCTCAGCTGGAAGCTCGTTGGTGCAAATGTGCATCGTTAAAGTAGCTCAGAACATGGATGTGCTGGAAAGAAAGGTTTCGAGTGAGTTTTACATACAGCGAAATAATTTTCCTGTTAATCACAAACCAAGAATACGCATGCAACTTAACTGAACGTTGAACGGAATTAACTTCATTGCAGTTTATGAACATAAATTACGTGATGTTTGACATTTCTAATATTCTGTCCATCTGTCTTGATGTAGTTCTGCCTGTGTCTCTCCTGAAAGACCTGCTGCCACATCTAAACATTTATTATCTGGACAGGATTGAAACTGCTGCTGCCTCCAAAGGTACAGTACAGTACAGTACAGACATACACACAGCTTCATCACATTTCTGTTACTCTTATATTAGTGACATCTAATAAAGTCAGAGTGTTGCAGTTTAACAGTGAACCCTGATGCTTATTTCAGGGATCTCCAGCTCTGTAGTTTGGGCAGGGCTATGGAGAGATCTGGACCAGACGTGGCGCTGGAGGTTGAAGGTTTGTTCTTCTTCATAAGATCATTGCTGCTGAATAAAACCACGACTGTCATTATGTTTGATGAACATGCTTAAAATATCAGGATGCTGTCTTTCAGTGCATTTATTGCTTCTCTTTCACTTGTTAACTTTCATATTTTAATTTTATACAATTAATTTTATTATTTATTTGTTTTGGGCGGGGGGTATTTTGTGTTATATTTTATTCTACCCAGTCAAATTCCTTATAAGTGCAACATGCATGGCCAATACACCTTTATTTATTTATTTATAATTTATTTTTTGTGTATTATTATTTTATTTTATACTGGCTTTTTGGAGCAAACTACTAGAACAAATTCTTTTTTGTGTAATTTTTATTACTTTTATTTTATTTTATTATTTTTTTATTACATTATTTTTTTTTTTTTTACATTTTATTTTATTCTGGCTTTTCAGAGCAGACTACGAAGTCAAATTCCTTATAAGAACAGCTTACATGCCCAACAAATGATTGTTTCATTTCATTTTATTTGTATTTTTTTGTTGTTATTATTGTAATTGAATGTATTATTATTTTATTAGAAAAAACTACCAAGTCAGATTCCTTATAACTACAACTTACTGTACATGGGCAGTAAATTATTTTATTTTATTTTGTATATTATTATTATATTTTATTCTGGCTTTTTAGAGCAATCTACTTAATCAAATTTTTCGTGTATTTTTTAATTTATTTTATTTTATTTTATTATTTTAATTAAAAAATTTTTTTTCCAATACACCTTTATTTATTCATTTATAATAAATTTTTTGTGTATTATTATTTTATTTTATTCTGGTTTTTCAAAGCAAACTACTAAGTCAAATTCCTTATAAGTAACATGGGTAATAAACATTTAATTTATTTTAGTGTATTTTATGAGACTCATGTTGTGAGCAAGTGCACTAAACCTGAAATCTGGTGTACTGTTTTTTTTCAGTCAGCACTGCCCGATCAGGACTGGAAGCAGAGATGTCTGGAACGGCTCTTTCACATGGTCTTGTTCACTCAGGTCAGACGGAGAGGATCGTACCTTTCCGACCTCAGCGATTCTTCCATTCTCTCCATGACCGTAAAACACGTCAGAGTCCTTTCTCTCCACACGTCAACCAGAAACATCTGCAGGCTGGCGTCCGGGGACCTGCGGCCCATCCTGAGCAGTTTAGAGACCAGAGTGACGTCCCTCAAATTACTGGACATGAAATCGCTATTCAAACACGGACGGAAATACGTGCTGTTTATCCTCCACCGGCTCCTGGATCACGGCTCTGTTAGAGAAGTGGTTCTGAGAAGAAATCCAGATTCATCTTTTCTGAGCTGGCTCATGTCCAGATGCAGAGGTCCTCAGCTAACAGTGTCCACCGCTCCGGAGACGTCCCACGCTGACGGCATTGATTCGAGGTGTAGAGCAGAGCTGGAGGAACCCGCTGCCAAACGTCTCGTCTTAGACGTGGAGGGAAACCCAGAGGTTCTGTGCGCCGAGGTGTCGTCCTCCAGCAGCTCTGCTGACCGCTGCCCTGAAGGTCAGATCCACGCGCTCGATTTGGAAGTGTCCAAACGTGAAATCATGAGCACAGTGTCACGTATCCTGCCCACGTGGCTGTGTCTTCACACGCTGCATCTCCACAGTGACTGTAAGTACATGCTGACAGCTCAATATCAGCTCTAGCTTTTTGTTGGACAACAGGTTTATAAATGGTTCTCATTACAAGTTTGGGGTCAGTAAGGCTTTTTTTTAATTTAATTTTATTTTAGTTGTTTATTACCATTTCATTTTATTTTATTCTGGTTTTTAGAGCAAACTACTAAATCTAATTCCTTATTAGTGAAAATTAATAGAAATTTTAATAGAATTAAATAATTAATAGAAGTAAGAAATTAATACTTTTATTCAGAAAAAATGCATTAAATTGATCGAATATTTAGTTTAATTTTGTATTATTATTATTATTTATGTTTACTTTTATCCATCAAGGATGCATTCAATTGATCATAATATCCGTATATTTAATTTAATTTTGTATTATTATTATTGTTTTATTTTTACTTTTATTCAGCAAGGATGCATTATATTGATCAAAAGTGACAGTAAAGACATTTATAATGTTACAAACGATTTTTTTTTTTCAAATGCTGTCTTTTCAGCATCCACAAAATGATTAAGCACAATTGACTTAAATCATTAAAACACAGCTGTTTTCAACATTGCTAATAATCAGAAATGTTTCTTGAGCAGCAAATCAGCATATTAGAATGATTTCTGAAGAATCATGTGACACTGAAGACTGGAGTAATGATGCTGAAAATTCAGCTTTGATCACTACATCTTAAAATATATTCAAATATAAAACCGTTATCTTAAATTACAATAATATTTTACAATATTACTGTTTTTACTGCATTTTTAATCACACAAATACAGCCTGGATGAGCAAAAGAGACTTCTTTCAAACAGCAAATCAGCATATTAGAATGATTTCTGAAGAATCATGTGACACTGAAAACTGGAGTAATGATGCTGAAAATTCAGCTCTGATCACTACATCTTAAAATATATTCAAATATAAAACCGTTATCTTAAATTACAATAATATTTTACAATATTACTGTTTTTACTGCATTTTTAATCACACAAATACAGCCTGGATGAGCAAAAGAGACTTCTTTCAAAAAAATAAAATCATTCAGACCCCAAACTTATATTATTATTATTATTTTATTCTTTTTTTAAATGATTCGTATATTGTTTACTTGTTGAACATGG